AGGACCACTGGTGCAAGTGGAAACCCGAGGACCTGGGGCTTGCCAAGGCCAGAGGCCGGCAAGCCCACGGCTAGAAGAGGCCGTTGTTGGGTGCTGCTGAGACTGGCACAGCCGCATGTGGGCACAGCCGGCCAGCCGTGAGGGGTGAAGGGGCATAACCACCTTGGAAAGAGCTGGGCCATTTCCCAGAAACGTCACTGTTCAGGAGTTACCCTCCTGGCCTTTCTCTAGAGCAGTGGGAACATCTGTCCACCCAAGACCCACCTGCAGCTGTCGCTGTCAGATGGCTGCAGCTGTCGATGTCCAGTGACATGAGGTCAGCCCTGTGAAAGACAGATCTGAGGCTGTTCTGTCTGCACCATCCTCACCACCTCCGACACAGGCCAGTCCATTGTTAGGCCACGTGTCAGTCCATCCTTTGCTGACCTTCTGCCTTTCCAAGCACGATGTCACTCTCCCAGGACAGCATGTCACCATCCTTGCCTCCAAGGAGCACGTGGCTGCACTTTCTCCAAGGCGTCTCTCTCCTTTGGCGGTCCTTGGACATTGAGCACTCTTCTCCACCACAGCTCGGAGGACCGATTCTTCTGTCATCGCAGGTATTGGTGTGGTGACACTTCGGGCAGCCCGTGTGACAGCAGAGCCTTCCGGGGGGGGGGGGGCGGGGGGTGTTATTATGGTCATCTTTAAGAGAACATTTCACCAGATCCTGAGGAGCTACGGGGTGGGTTTGAAATGTCAAGCTTTGGATTATTGGCCAAATGTTTAACCCTTGTGCCACCATGTCTCCTGTGGAAGCACCTGGCTTGTGTCAGAGAATCTCCCACTTCTCAGTGATGAGCCCTGTCCCTAAGCACCTTTGGTCTCTCCATGGTGGAAACCCGCGGGTCATCTCACTACATGCCAGGGGCATGGACAGTCACAGATGTCATTCCAGAGCTAGTCCTAGAGGCCAGCAGGTCAGAAGGTTGGCGCTGTGACATGTTTCCTTGTAGCCCCTCTTTTGTCCTTGAACCCCAAGATCTCAGTCCTGCTCTTAGACTAACATGCCCAACGTGTCCCCTGTTATTCCCAGCAGGGTCTCCTCTGGTCCCAAATCTCCAGACCTTCAACCCCATGGCCTGGTCTAACCCGGACTTCCCCTCCCTCCTTCGCTCATGGGAGGCCTTCCCCGTGGTCTAGCGCCAACTGGGCCCCACCTGTGCTCATGGCTCTGCTCCCCAGACCTGCTGGCTGTGCACTCCAAGCAGGAAGTTCCTGACAGAGCCCAGAGCCTGGGCAGTGTGTGTCAAGTGGACCTCTGAGGTGGCCGGGGTGTGCAAGCCCAGCTCCACAGAGGACCTGGGGCTGGTGGCAGAGGAGCCAGGCTCTGTCATGTCAGCACTGTGTCCAGTGTGTGCTGCCTCCAACCCAGAGGGGCAGGAGCAATGCTCATAAAGAAGAGACAGAGTCAGGGTGCCAGAAAGAGGGGGCTCTGTCTGTGGGTTTGCTGGTCCTGCAGGTGCTTTTATCTGCCCAGGTGCACCAGCCCCTCAGTCGGCCAGCCACTGCTTGACACTGAGAGCCCACCATGTCAGCAGGGAGGACCGGAAGTGCTGAGACCGATGCCGTCGGGTACACTCCATGGCCTCTGAGCCATGGCCACCTGCACTGTCCACTTATTAAGGCCACGTCCTTGTGGCTTTCCAGCCATTCTAATCCTCGACAAAAACAAGACCTGCTCCCAAGGGGAGCTCCGGTGGCCTAGTGGCAAGGAGCTGCAACTGCAATCCCAGAGGCGCACGGTTCGAATCCACCAGATGCTCTGCCAGGGAAGGAGGGACAATCTCCTCCTGTACCAGTCAGATCCGATTTGACGGTACACTCACACAAAAATTTAAAAAAAGACCTGCTCCCAGCACGTCAGTCCCCACTCAGTGACCCTGCAGCACAGAGGAGCACCGCCTCTGGGTTTCCAGTGACCAGTATTTAAGGAAGCAGACTGCCCCAGTTTTCTCCCAAGGAGTGGCTGGTGGCTTTGAACTGCTGACCTTTGCATTAGCAACAGAATAACTGCAGTGTGCCACCATAGCTCCTTCCACTCTGTCCATTAAAGATCTTTTTATATTAGAGGGAAGACCTGCCTATCTGCATCAAAAACTCACAGCCTCCTAGTCCGAGCGTACTCAGCCAACCTTCTAGTGGGTGTCTGAGGAGATAGCCAGCTTTCTCTCACAGAGCCGCTGGTGGGTTTGAACCACAAGAGACCTTCCGGCTGTCAGTCGTCGTCTCTGGGACGTAGAGTACGGTGAGGCTGCCTGTCCTTCCTGACGGCACACAGGCAGACAGCCTCTGCAGTGTCCCCCAGCCGGCTCCTGGCCCGCTCTTCTCCGCTCTCGAGCCCTCAGGGGAGAACACTGCCCATCTCAGCACCCCCGGGACGTGGACACTCCAGGGCCGAGGACGCTGCCAGGACATTGTCTCACTGCAGTGCTTTCCTTTGCCAGACGGGCCATTTTCTATGGGGTCCTGTTCCTTCTGGGACTTGCTTGGTGCTATCTCCACAGTGGGGATCAAGAGTAGCATCCTAAGTCTGAAGCCGTGACCCTCTGAACATGGCCAGAAGGTGACCGAGGTCCAGTGTCTGTCATTACTGTGTGCCCAGGGAAGGCAGTGGGGCAGGAGGAGGAGCTGGTGCCAGCACCCAGTCAGCGCCCTGCCGGCAGTCCCGCGGACAGCAGGATACACACGGCCCTGCCCACACCGTCCTCCCGGTCACCACGTGCTGACCCTGAGTGCGTTGTTACACCAGCGTCTGTGCATCTCTTCTCCCTGACCCTCTGTTTGACCAGGCATGCTGTCCTCTAGGGACTGGCCCCTCCTGGGCACATGGCCTTGGGAGGAACGTTCTGGCCGTATTTCTTCCATCATAAACTTGTTTGTCCTGGTAGCAGTCTGTCGTGCGTTTGATGTTCCTTGCCAACACTGCGATTCAAGGGAGTGGATGCCGCCAGCCAGGTGAGGCCACGGCCATTCACCCAGCTGCTTCCTGTCCCCACCGTGGGTGAGACAGGTGTGCAGACACGGGGAACCCTCAGTGCATCACCTCTAGGACTTTGAGCTGGTGCTTTCCAGTTCCAGGCCACTCTGGAGAGCTGGCTGGAGCCCTGGCCGCCTCACACCGCCCAGTTGGAGCCGGGGAGGTGTTTGTGGGACCAGGAAGGGGGACAGTGAGCCCTCTGTTGTCAGCCCCCACCAGCAGCAGCCTGCCGGGAAGGGAGGCGTGGCTCGTTTCTGCTTCGCTCTGTTCATAGACTGTGTGCTGTTCGGAAGGTTCACGGCAGGTGCGACAACAAGTCTGTGCGTGTCGTCCATGTGTCCGTCCCACTCGGGTGGACAGATAGGCGACAGGAGGCCCTCTGGCTCACTCCTGTGGTCACACACTCGGCAACAGTCTCAGGCCTTTCCACCACCACGCTCCTTTGCAGCTACACCTCGGGTAGTTTGTGCTGGAGTGAAGCCGTGCTGCAGCCTGAAAGGCAGAATGTAAGCCCCAAGCGTTAGCTTCCCTGAGATGCAGCTCCCAGTCACCCCGGGATGACCGGGCCTCGGCAGCGCACGGGGCTGCGGGCTGCTGTGCTCAGCAGGAGGGACGTGCGTGTTCATCAGCTGAGGGGGTCCCGCCGGACAGCGCGAGGACTAACCACGGGCACTTCCGTGTCCATGACCCTGAGACACACAGGCCGCTCGTGGCGTGGGGAGGTGCCCGCTCTGTTGTTGGGACAGTCAGTCCTCTGAGCTCCAGACCCTGCGCGTACCGAGCTTATGCCTGGGCAAATGCTGCCCTACTGATTTTGAAGGTTGATTGTTTTCGGGTTTCATTGTTCACGTTTTTGGCCTGTCAGTTGTCTGAAAACTGAGTCGTGGAGGGAGTTCACTTCCAGGCTGGAAGGGCGAGGAAAGGCCACAGTCTCGGGGTTGCACTTGTCTCCCCCAGACCAACAGCCTTGGGCTTGTTATTTTGCGTTCTGTTCTCCATTGTCTTCCCACTCTTCTCCAAGACTGTTGGGGGCCCTTAGCCAGCAGTGGGCAGCGATGGCCAGGCTCTGCTCTGTTCCGCTCTGCTCGTGTCACATCTGTGCCCTCAGGCCTTCCAGCTTGGGAGTGCCACCATGTTGGACTGCTCGGTGCTTCCTGACCCCTGGGTCGACTGGTATGGAAGTGGCACCTCTGGTGAGCTGTGTCATGTTCCAGCTTAAATGACATTCCGATGGGATGCCAGATGAGGAGGGCTTGTCTGTCCCTGGACAAAGCCAGACAAGAGCCCCTTTTGTCATGCAGTGTCCGTTAAGGTCAACAGTGTGTGATGTGCAGGAGACACTAGACTGCTGGTGGGGTCTCTTCTGTGAGAACATCTCTTTAACCCTCTCGTGGCCCCAGGACCGGTAGTGCCTTTCCAGCCTGTGTTTGTGAGCAGCTGCTCCCCTTCTGTCCGGTGGAAGCCTGTGGAGAACAGGGCTGGAACCCCCTCCACCAGTTCCAGCACCAGGGACTCCACTGCACATAGGTGTCCACTGATTGTATCAAAAGTTTTCTTCATAATGCCTTCTGGTGCTGAAAACACATGGTTTCTGCAAAAAAGTCAAAGCTGAAAATAATTAGATTGTGACAGGTAGTGCCCAGGGGTCACTGGACTGTTTTCTTCAGAAGCAAAGCTGTCCTGAGAACTGAAATGTCGCTTCTGTTTCCCATTTCTTCTTCCCTCCCCCACCCCCCATCATCTGGGCAAGGTGATGGGCACTGGCTGGGCAAGGGAGGGGTAGCCCAGGGCCACGTGCTCCAGGATGAGTGGGGCTGGATCTGGGGCGTCTGCCCCTGCTGTGCTGCTTTATGGGTACACACGTGTGCCTCCTCTCCTGGGGTGCACAAGCACAGAGCGGCACTGGGCACCCAGATACCTTCTTGCCCTCGGAATCACGCTTCCTCCACCCAGACTGAGTGTGTGTTCTTCCTTCTGACAGGGTGAGTCCGTGAAGTACTTCCTGGATAACCTGGACCGGATTGGCCAGCTGGTGAGTAGATGCCCCAGAATCCGAGGGCCATGTTCAGGAAAGGTGCATGTGGAGACAGAGCGGCCCTGGTCACAGGCTTGAGCCAGGCTGTGGGCCCTGTCCTACCACCATATTACTGTGGACAGTGCTCAAGTATTGATCAGCCCTGAATCCTGTATCAAGGCCAAGAAATCCTTGAGGTCAAGACTCATCCGCACAGGACAGCCTCCCGGTCATGTTACGGGCCTCTGTCATGCTGAGGTGGCCATGGCTCACAGTGACCTTGTGGGCCTTGCCTGTCATGGTCACCAGGGCGTGCAGGTCTGTCCTCCTCCGCCGAGGGTGAGCCCTGGGGGCCAAGCCTGGAGCAGGCTGACTGGACGGGCCTTTCTGGGATCCGTAAGGTGGTTCTTTGCTCAGTGTCACTGTTGGCTCACGGTGAGCCACAGGGTTTTCAGCGCCGGAGCACAAACTTCTCTTGTCCATGTTAACACGGAAGCTCTGCTGACTGCACCACAGGTGACCCGCTGGTCCTTGATATGTACACCAGTAGCATCACCTCCAGCATCACAGCAATAAGCAGACTGACGGGTGGTGGCATGAAACGTGTTGTTAGGTGCCGTCAGGAAGAGGGCAGCTCACACAGCCCAGTGACCCGCAGATCTGGACCCTGTCCTGCCCTGCACCGTCCCCATCATCTCAGGCGCACGTGAGCCCATTGCTACAGTCACTGTGTCAGTCCATCATGATGGAGACCTGTCTTTCACGGACCCTCCGCCTTTCCAAAAAGCACGTTATCTGTTACCACTGAGCAGCCTTTACAAGCATTATGCCCAAAGTATATGAGACGAAGCTTAGTACTAAATGAAGATGGGAAATTCTTTTGCCCAGATGTCCATAAAGGAGACAGAAGAGTTCTTTAGACAACGGATATTTCCTTTAACTCTACGGTCTGGAAAGTCCAGTCATTTACAGAACGAGAGGAGAACATGGAACGCAGTCTGAGGATGGATGTAGAGCTGAGGCGTTAAGTGATCGATCTGTGTCTTCTCTGTCTTCCCACCCCGCAAATCATCTCATCGCAGCGTCTTCGAGCAGGCTGCTGAATGGGAAGCCTCTGCAGGCGTCACCAGAGCTCAGGCTCGCTCAGACCTGCTGCGCTCACTTCCACACCACTGCCTAGACAGGAGGGAGTTGCACTGCCACCCCGAAGGCACGGAGCTCGAATCCACCAGCTTCTCTGAGGGAGACCATGATGAGCAGGCCCCCGTGTGACCTACAGCCCTTAAACACCTCAGTCAGCAGTCGGTCTGACTCGATGGCAGTGCGTTTGCATTTGACTGCAGAGGAAAGTGCTATTTACCCTAGACTGAGCTCTTACAGGTCAGGAGGGCGGAGTGTGGACTGCTCCTCTAAGTCATTGGTTCAAATCTGCCTGCCACTTCGTAAGAGAGAATGGACGCAGCCCCTCCCATTAAGAGTTACTGCCTTGAAAACACGGCAGAGGGTCGCCAGGGTCAGAACCAAGGGACAGCTGGGGTTGGGTTGGTTTGTAGTGTATGGGGCCCAGAGACATGGGGTGAGCATGTGCTGCTGAGGCCAGCTTGGCGCTGCATGGCCGCCAGCCTCCCCTCTGTCCGGACAAGCATCTCCACATGCAGTACAGTGAGGCCTGCCCTGTGGTCAGTTAGCAGTTCCCCTGCATCGGCCGGCTCAGCCGTTCTCACACCCTGCTGTCTCAGCACTGGTCACTTGTGTTCTCAGCTCTTAATCTGCAGGGCTCGCCCCCATACGCTGTGGGGTCAGTCCCGTGGCATCACCCCACCTGGCCGTCCACCTCTGCACCAGATACTCATGTCTGAATCGTTTGCCAAGACAGCGCACATGGTCACTGCAGAATCTGTGGTCCCAAACCTGGGTGACTGGAGGTCCTGAACTCCTGTGTAGATACTGGCATCTGCACAGAAGCACATGGGGAGCTTTTGAGAGGAGACTGGATGGGAAACCAAGGCTGAAGGGAGGCTGCTGCTTCCTCGCCTTCAGACAGGGAGCCTTAATGCAGAAGCCATCGATCGAGTCTGTTGGCTCCAGGCGACCCCAGGACTGCCGAGGGCATGTGGTGGCCGATGTTGCCACCCGCACTGTCGTTCTTAGGGACTTCTCTTCCTTTCTAAATGGCCCGGTGGATTCCTGTCCTTCTGTCCTGCAGAAAACTTCTCATGTTCTAAGTGAAGTTTGATTTTGCCCTCACTCAGCGGCCCCCTGATGCCGGTTAGGCCCTGCCCTGTGCTCCAGCACGGCGTCCAGGCCTCCGCTGCCTTGACCCTGAACTTTTTCCCTTGTCTGTGTTTTACAGAATTACTTTCCCAGTAAACAGGACATCCTGTTGGCCAGGAAAGCCACCAAGGGCATCGCAGAGCACGACTTTGTGATTAAGAAGATCCCCTTCAAGATGGTGGATGTGGGCGGGCAGCGGTCCCAGCGCCAGAAGTGGTTCCAGTGCTTTGACGGGATCACGTCCATCCTGTTCATGGTGTCGTCCAGCGAGTACGACCAGGTCCTCATGGAGGACAGGCGCACCAACCGGCTGCTGGAGTCCATGAACATCTTTGAGACCATCGTCAACAACAAGCTCTTCGTCAACGTCTCCATTATCCTCTTCCTCAACAAGACGGACCTGCTGGTGGAGAAGGTGCGGACGGTCAGCATCAAGAAGCACTTCCCCGACTTCAAGGGCGACCCCCACCGCCTGGAGGACGTGCAGCGCTACCTGGTCCAGTGCTTCGACCGCAAGAGGCGCAACCGCAGCAAGCCTCTGTTCCACCACTTCACCACAGCCATCGACACGGAGAACATCCGCTTCGTCTTCCACGCCGTGAAGGACACCATCCTGCAGGAGAACCTTAAGGACATCATGCTGCAATGAGAGCCGCCACTCGCTGTCCGCCTGGGATCCTGCACCGCCGCACGCCTCCATCACATCTCTCCTGTTACACTCCCGGGGCCGTCCGCACCTCTGCACCACAGCTGTCTGCAGACGCACGCCCGCCCCGCAAGCCTCCACCCCAGTGGCCTTGTACACGGCATCCCGCCTGACCAGAACACCTCCCGGAGGGTGCTGCCCACCGTGCCCCGGTGCACACGGCTCGGATACCAGCCTCACAGGCAGGGCTCGCCTTGGAAACCCTCACCTCAGTGTGTCCGCCACCCACGGCCGTCATGCACCCATATACACTTGCCTTACGTGGAGAATCACACAGCAGCACAGAACCGTCCGAGGACGGCCTCCATGCCAACGTGCCTCTAGCCACGCACGGTGCTCCTCCTTCCCCTCCCGCCCGGCACAGAGGCCAGCGCACCACGGGGCCTTCAGACCGCTTTTCTGTCTCACTTTTCTTCCCATTAGTCTGCTCCTTCTGCTAGCCATACTCGGCATCCCCTCCTACATCCCCTCCCTCCTCCCCTATATCCCAGCCGGCTCTGTCCACTCAGCTGCCGATGTTCCAGCCTCTGTGTCTCCAGGGTGCCCATAGACCCGAGGGATCCACACTTCTGTCCTGGCCTCTGGAGGAGTTCTTACTTCTGTCCCTGCCTCTCCTCCTCCAGGACACTCGCAGATCCTGGAGTGGTCCCGGCTTCTCCAAACCCAGCCTCCCAGCACCCCTGAGAGTGCCTCCTGTCCCCAGCGCCTCCTGTCCCTCCCGGCGCCTCCTGTCCCAGCACCTTCTCTCCCTGCCCGCCCTTCTCTTCCCCAGGCACTAGACATGCTCCTCCCAGGGACCGGGCAGGTGGCTCAGAGCTCTGTGCACTCCCAGACCAACCTGGCCAGCTGTCTCTCACTGTGTGTCGCCACCAAGCATCACCCTGCTGAGCTGGTCCAGTGCACTCGGGCTTCTCCTGGCATCGAAAACATCTCCTATGGAGCAGACAGTGGTGACCACCCCCCACGTGGCCCCCGGCGCGATCCTCTCACCTTCCGTTAGCAGCAGGAGCCCCGTCATCTCGGAGCCGACCCCCAGGAATGAAGAGCCTCCACACCCTGTTCTCACGGTGCTCACATCGGAGGTGCTGTGGAGTCTCACCACACCCCCACCCCCGCCTCTCCAGGCCCAGGGCCGTGTCCTTGCGTGCCCACCGTCTCTGTGCCATTTTCTGTGGCTCTTCAGAAAAGGGACAGGATGGGGCCCTGGCATCAGCAGCTATGTTTTCAGGGATGAGAAGGCCCCAGTAGGGTCTCCAGATGCTTCTTGGTTTGAGATGGAGACTTACTGTCGCCCAGAGTCCTTTCCACAGGAAGTCCACCCAGGGCTCCTCCTTGGCCGGCCTCTGTCAGGAGCCTGGGCAGCCTGGTCCCCCCATCGGTCAGGAGTGTGGGTGGCCTGGTCCTCCCATCAGGTCAAGAGGATGGCTAGCCTGCTCAGCAAGCACACTGGCCCCGAGGACGGTCAGCAGTCACACTTGTCATAAGTTCACCTGTAAAATCAGGAGTGGCGTGGATGGTGGCATTGGGACTTGGTCTGACTGTGCATCCAAGATCTGAGATACAGAGGGGTGGCCCAGGCTGGGGTTCTCTGACCTCATGCCTCACTGAGCTGGGCTCCCTCCCTCCGTGACAGCGGGGAACAGTCAGACTCC